TTTTTCTTGGGGGCGGGGCTAATGAAACGCCATCCGGGGTCCATCCGACTTACGCTGCGACTATGTACATTTTTAAAAAACTGAATTTTCACAGGTGCTTGCGAGCATGTTGGATTTTTTGCAGCCATGGAATCCAGAATGTTGACATTTTCACCCGTCCTGCTGGCGTTGCCAAATGTCGCTCCATGAATAGTGTCGTAACCCCCTCAAAAACAGGTCGAAAACGCAGATCCGGTAAAATAAGAATAAGAATACTGACGATTTCAATAGGTTTTCGCACACTTCGTGCTCAGGCCCTAATAACGCCGGCGATTTCAATAGGTCTTCGCACACTTTGTGCTCAGGCCCTAATAACGCCGGCGATTTCAATAGGTCTTCGCACACTTCGTGCTCAGGCCCTAATTAAGAAAATGTAACACCCTTTTCCCCCCTGTTACACTTTTCATTTGCCCTGTACGATGGGCGCTGTAAGTGATGAAAATGGGGGATGTTGGCTTATCAGGCGCCCGCAGCTCGGATATAAGAAGAAGATGTTTCTACAATAATGTGGAGTGAGAGTCCTCTCCAGTCAGGCTGATAACTAGCCTACTGCTCAGTGAGGTAATGTTACGAACTCAGAAACTCAAGGTATAGGACCCAATTGCACGACCCAGGAGACAGAGGTAAAGTATTTAGATACTTTATTTTCAAAAGAAGAACAGAAATAAACACTATCAAATCTCTAGGATGAGATGACAAAAAGTGAACAAAAGAAAATCGCTCACGTAGTGAGGAACAAAAACATCTTGGTATCAAGGAGAGCATAGATCTGACCTAGGCATGAGACAAGACGAACTGACAATGAACACCGGGAGACTGGGGAATTTAAACACACGACAACAAGACACAGGTGGAAACAATCAGGGGCGGGGCTGGTGCTGATGAGCACGGGAGACACACAAGAGGTAGATAATCAGGAAGCCTGGAATGACAGCTAAATGATGAGTGACAAAACAAACATAAAACAACATGAAAATGAAACTCCCTTAACATTTCTGTCGGTGCACAACAGGTAAAGGACTCTGAGGGTTTAGATAGTTCACTTTAGTCTAAGTTATCTCAGTGGGTCTCAAACGGTTTGATCACAATTGATGTAAACACAAATTTCCAAGGCACTCCTTTGTAATTATTGGGATGAACAGGTTTGAAATCATTTCAATGTATACTATAGGACAAAAATATCCTTTAAAACTGGAGAGATACAAAAATATGCATAAATAAATGTTAACTAGGTAAAATAAGATATGATGAACGACAAAAATAAAATAAGTTACATTTATTTGTTATTGACTATGGTAGGTGATTGGTTATTAAAATGTAAACCGATCTTTTTCATATGGGTGTTTAGAGTTGTACCCCCTAGATCTAGTAGTAATTATGCTCAAAGTGCACCAGATTGAAGCATTTTACTTTATTGCGTATTCCTTGGATACTCTATTGATCTTTATCTTTTCTACTGTACGATTCTCTGGCTGGGGGCGGGGGCGCCAGCTAAAATCTCGCCTAGGGCTGCAAATTGTCTAGAGCCGGCCCTGGAGAGAGGGACAGAGTTTTGCAATATTGCGGAGGTGGAAAAATGAGGTTTTAACTACTTGGCGGATGTGGGGCTCGAGGGAGAGGGTGGGGTCAAATATTACGCCGAGGTTGCTTGCCTGGCTGGAGGGGGAAACAGGGGTGCCATCGATGGCGAGTGTCTTGTTGGAGGTTTTGCTGAGGGTGGATTGAGAGCCGATGAGGAGGAGTTCAGTTTTATTGCTGTTGAGTTTGAGGAAGTTGTGTAGCATCCAGGATTGTATTGCACTCAGACAGGAGTCGATGTGGGTGAAGGGGGGCTTGTGGGGGGATTTGGTGCTGAGGTAAATCTGGGTGTCGTCGGCGTAACAGTGAAAGTCCAGGTTGTAGTGGTGGAGAATCTGACCAAGGGGGAGGATGTCGATGATGAAGAGGAGGGGGGCCGAGTACTGAACCTTGGGGAACACCTTGGGTGACTGAAGCTGTGGCAGAGGGGTGGTTGTTGAGGGAGATGAAGTGGGATCTGTCGGAGAGGTAGGACTGGAGCCACCTGAATGCAGTACCTTCGATACCAATGTCCTGGAGCAAGATTAAAAAGGCGTGATTGTAAAGGAAATATTTGTACAGTTCTGTTAAAGTTCTATAGGTGTCATGTGACCTGGATGCAAAACAACGGACACAGTTTTAATCAAGCAGATGTATTGATAGGTCTGTTGATACAAATATTCTTAATTTTGCTGTAGTTGAGTTCCTACACAAACAACCCAAAAAAAAGCCTGTTGAAATACGAGCTGTGAAGAATGTGAGTTTGATAAGTGGCTGAAGGCTATGGTCAGGAATGAGGAATGAGAAAACAACTCCTTGACGTTGTTTTGTCTAAAAGAAAAAGGATTAAGAAACGCAAGAAAAACACCATTATTCCACACATTCATTCATGTGGGCACAATGTAAAAGCATTGTCACTTAGTTTGATTTATTTAACTAGAAAACCATTCAGATAATTTGTTGGAAAAGTAAGGCCATTCGTAGTGTGCATCATGCCTGAGTTATTCATTAAATGATTCGCAAACCTCTCTTAAATCTCACCTATTTTGCTATATTTGAAAAATATATTATAGGGCCATATCTATACAAAACATCTCTCTGAAGTGTTTTGAAAATACCAAACAGATCACCCATTCTAGCCATGCATCATACCCCTCAATTTCAGCCCTGTTACTTGTACTGTTGCCTGGCCTTGTTCCACAATTAAAGAAGTTTTTGTTTTCAACCAATCCTCTGCATTTGGGTCCTGTTATACTTTACCGCCCAGCAGTAACAGGTATATGGTCAACCTTTTCTTAGGCCCCGGCCCCACGGGGACGCATATGGTAGTTTCCGTTACCGTTTTGTGTCATATAGACCGTTCGGCCACACTAGGACGACAGAATATGGCAGTAAACGACTACGGTAACAATAACGGGTCCCAAGGTGGATAGAACGGCATACGCAACGCTCTGGGGGGTCCAACGGCTCCGTGTGTACGACCTATACCAGGGGTGCCCAACCAGTAGATCGCGATCGACATTCCCAGTCGATCGCGAGATGTGTCTAAAAATAAAACAACAATATTCAGTTTTATCGTTAATGTCCTATAAGATAATCTTCCTGTGCCAGAATAATGCACTTGAACGGATCAAAGCTTTTTGATTGGCCGGCGTGACCCCATGTGTCGGGGCGTGGCTGGTGGGCAGTGGGCACTATTTAGCTGACGTTGTCCGTGTCAACAGGAGTGACAGTCCCCACACATACAAGACCGCAATTATGGCAGAAGCAAAAAAGCCCAAAATATATAATTTTCACTCCGAGTGGGAGGATGATTATTTTTGTATCTATTCCAATTCAAAGTCCATCTGTCTCATCTGCAATGCGAGCGTGGCTTTATCGAAGAAGGGTCATTTAGGAGCGGCATTTCAAAACAGTGCACAAACGCTACGAGACGGAATTCCCTCCTAATTCTGCCCTACGCTCCCAAAAGGTGAGGGACCTGAAAGGACAGCTAAATGCACAGCAGTCCATTTTCACCAGGCCCAACAAAAAGAGCAAGGCTGCTACCATAGCATCTTATCATGTCAGTCACGTTCTTGCGAAACACATGAAGTCTTTCAAAGACGGCGAAGTTGTGAAAGAAGCATTCCTGGAGGCAGGGGCGGACTGGGACTAAAATTCAGCCCTGGAAACTGACCCAGTCCGGCCACATGAAATGTCAAATGTTAGAAATCCGCTGTTTATTATTTAAAGTTTTACATCCGATTCACTCCTTTTTTCCTCTCTGTACACAGCTCCAGCTTGGGCATTGGCCTGTCATCAGATTTAATTTTTAGTTGCTGCTGTAGCGGAAGTTTAGTAAAATTATTTTTGATGAAATACTCCAAATCTCCACCCTCCATAATTGCACTTGCTTCAGTTGCTTGCTACTTTCTCAGGGCGGTGATGACAGTTACAGTACGAACTGAAGTTGATGCGATTTTATTGGATTGTGAGGCAAGGGAAGCCAGCCACCTCTGGATTGGCCTTGGCATGGCCCTGACCAATCACAGGTTGGCAGGGGCATGACGTGAGCCTCATCTCACCTCCATTTTTTTTCTCCAAGGGAAGCCAATTTCAGCTAGCCTCCTTTCGCAACAGAGAGTGCAATCTACTGTTTCACCATAACATCTAGAGGGGCGCTGTTTCACTCTTTGCAAAATACTCAATGAGAATGGGGGAGAGATGGGCCGGCAGCAACACACAGCACAGAATAATTACCGAAACTAAACAAAGTGTTTTTATTTATTTATTAAAATTATAACTACAATCCAAAAAAACAGGGGAAGCCTGGCTTCCCTTGGCCTCCAGGAGAAAACGCCACTGAGTTCAAGGGATAATTCTCACCCACCTCTTGCTCTTGCCCTGCAGTTGTATGTGCCAGTTGAGCTGGTTCTTCCACCAGCTCAACTCTCTGTCCCTCATCATGAACGCAGGCTGGCTGTATATCTGAACTCGCCCCTTATCATTCTCTTCATCATCTTGCACTTGTTCTAAGCTGCTGATGATAGTGCTTGTAGCAGCGCTGCTGCCAAAAAGGTACATTTATATGCTTCACCTGCGAGTGACTTCACCTTTTTTTCTCTTGCCTTCTCGGCCCCACCTTTTTCTTTTCGTTTTCTTTGATTTGTATCCATGTTTTTTCATTCTCCCTGTCTGCCGCGGCGTCTAATCCCTTCTCTTCGTGTGGCCGGTCTTTTTTCTTCTTCGTGTGTGATTATTTGACAGATAAGAACCACACAACTGCATTAGCGGCCGCTGTCGCCCTCTGTCGGCCGTCAGCACAACTTAAATGATGACGTTAAACCATTTTTTTTAAAGGGCCGGCCGGCCGTCAACGGCCCTTGACGACCGGCCGTTCTGTGGTTCTCCAGATTCTACAGATGGCCAGGCCGCCCCTGACTCAAAGGACTCGGGTTAATGGAGAGGGGAGACTCGTCACGACCAGCTCATTTCTAGGATCCGGGTTAATGATCCGGATGAATCAGGACTCGCCCATCTCTAGTACTGTCATTGGAGCTATGTGCAGCTCAAGGCTATATGCTCGAACGGGAGCTGCCTGGACGCTGCAATCATGTTGCGTGCAATATCCGTGCTGAGTGTGCTGACTTTTCGTACAATGTCCCACTGTCTGGCTACCTGCATAAAGTCAAGTGCTCAGCGCAGTTGTCGGCGAAATGTCGCTCCTCTGTTTTCATTGAAACAGCTCCTTATATCCTGTAGCATCTGGTGCTAGCTAGCTGCGCTAACAACAACAACAACACGTAAGGTGTGCCTCGCTCGCGCAGGGAATTCGGTGCATCAAAATCATAATTCATGTACAACAACTGTCCGTGTCTCCACAGTTCTGTGTGTTTCTATTTACATATTTTTCTGTCCCTGCAGTGGATCTGTGTTCCCTTTGCTCTGATGAACCCCCACGTTTCGGACATTAGTCACACACTGATGAACAACACCCTGCACACTCCCTGGATAGGATCACCCGAGCTGAAAAAGACCTGGATACTGATTGACGATTTCTTATTCATGGTAAGGAAGTGGATAATTACAAACACAATTCACGTTAATAAAAAAATATTAACCAATTTACTGTTTTGACTTTAAGGCCCTGGGGAGTCTGGGATATCAGTGCATTCATCAGAGGACTTTGTCGGCATCGTCCACATCGACAGCAAAGACCACTTGCTTTTTTTCGGCTTTCTTCCTGCCTATTTTGGGGATTCCTTCAATACTTTTTGGGGCAGCTGCTGCCTCCACAGGTAACAACTGTTTCTAAATACTGAGGGAACCTGTGAAAACTGATGTCTTTAAGCACCTGTCATATTCCTATGGTTTGGTTCTGGATTTCCTGCTTCCCTCCTAGTCCTCCGGGTTTGTTCTAGTTTTGTTTGCTACTTTTCCTTTTGTTCTACTTCGCCTGTTTCTTCAGTTTTTATATTTTTATACCAGCTTTTAAGTTACTAAAAGCTCACCTTGTGTTTACATTCTTACTGCTTTTGGGTCCTTACTCTTTCCAAACCCTGACAAGAACTGCCGAATAACATAGTTTAGAAAACCAAACTAAGAAACACTTATATCTTTTTATGGACTGCAGGCTTTAGCAAATGTGCTAGAAAAGAAGATATATTTCAGCAAAATGCAATTTGAAAAGTTGACTTTGTTCAACACCTCACATGATATATATTCACATTACAGTAGGCTTGTCTCAGAATCTCACAGATAATGTGAGCCTTTTTCAGTCTCTCCTTCTTCTGTGTCCATGCTTTAGACTGGAACATGACTTCGTACGGTTCTCCGTCTCCATATGAACGTGGGGAATCAGCTCTAGTTCTGCCCCTCAGCCTCCAACATCTCACTCCTTCCTTCATCTCCATCATCGGTATTGGAGCTGTGGCCGCCGCCGCGATGTCGTCCCTCGACTCCGTTTTGCTTTCTGCAGCTTCTGTCTTCACCTCCAGCATTTACAAGAACATCCTGAGACCCCAGGTGAAGAAAATGTATACTTATTTCGGTGTGGTACATTACAAAGAAAGCTACATGAGAATAGTTGATTGATAGTTTAGTTTGTACTTTGCAAAAAAAGGAATGGACTACAGGAGAATCATAGAGTGGTATGATAGAAAACAAGATAATATGAAGAATCAATGAGATATGAAAGCAATAAAATAGTTATTTAACCTGTTAAGCCCGAGAGACCCCGGTACCGGGGCACTGCCGCAACATCATGCAGGAAACAGTGTCTGAGGGCATGTTCATGTAATAAACTATGAATGTTTTATATCCATGTAACGGGAAGAAACTCATCTAACTGATCATTTTTTTTTTTTTTCAAAAGAAAACCCACAATGCTAACACTGAGCCTCTGAATTAGCAACGAGCGAAACAGATTACTGCACCGAAAATCACTCACAAAACCTTATTATTTATCTTTTCTCCACATCCATGACATCGATTCACATCGTGAGGTGACACAGAATCGATTAACACCGACATTACCACTGAATTATATGAATTTGCGACGTTATAAACAAAAACAGACATCAAAACAGGTGACGCTAGGTAGCTAAAAATGCTAACATTTTTACCTTGGCTCTGTAGTCTCTCCAAAGTGGTCTTCAATGGCATTAAAACGATAAAAACGCTGCTGAAGTTAATCCATAGGTTAATCCAATGTGTCTGTGTCCCTTTGAAATGATTTCTGATAATCCATGAGCATTAAGACGGATAATCCATGCTTTTACGTTTCTAGATGTCAGAGCTAGACTGTAGCTTCACTCTAATTCAAAATTACATGCGCAAAGCCCCCACCTTTTTGTTTCACAATGAGTGTGTGTGGGGGCCTCCCCCTTCGATTCTATTGGCTCTAACGGTCAGAAAGAGGTGTCAACCATCAAAATCGACCAATGAGTTCCAGAGATATGAAAAAAAAAAGATTTCCACCCAAATCACCTCAGAGGTGGAGTGTTTTTTGCTAAATCTCTCTAAAAAGGTCAAATGTCACTTGTTTTGCATCAATCTTGATATAGGGTACTTATTATATGTTGTACTTTGGATTCCTAAAGCTTTTAGTCTACTAACCCATCATCCAAGGGTAGTTTTCACTATAAGTAAAAAAGAATCTTTGGACGGACACTATAATTTACAGTTTTTTACTATGTAAAATCTGAATTTTCTTTAAAATAAAAAACACCTATATTGATTCTGACTTTTCTACATCCAACTCACAGGTTTATCATTACTTTGAGAAAAAAGATTATTAATGTAACCCTTTTAGAAGGGAAGATATGGTCATTTGTTCTGGGAATGTCATTTTCGAGCCTGAGGCCTGAAAAACAGGCTCAGGGCTTAACAGGTTAAAAAAGGACAGTCTCAATAATGTGCTGTTTATCTGTTCTTCTTCCTCTCTTCTTCTTCAGGCGTCGGAGAGGGAGATCCAGTGGGTGATCCGAGCCTCCGTGTTGGTCGTGGGCGTGTTTGGTTCATCGCTTTCCTTCCTGAAAAACAGCATCTTATTGTTCTGGTTCATCGGAGCTGAAATCGCCTACGTCATACTCTTCCCTCAACTCGTCTGCGTCCTCTTCGTCGACATCTCCAACAGTTACGGGGCTGTTATGGGTTTGTTGGTGGGAATAATGGTACGACTGCTAAGTGGGGACCCATCAGGGATCGCACCAATCCTACACTTCCCAGGATGCACTCTTGAGAACGGTGTTTACGTCCAGTACTCTCCAGTTAAAACCATCTCCATGCTGTCGGCCATTGCTGCCATCTTGTTGTTCTCCTACCTGACTTCTGTGCTCTTCAACAAAGGCCATCTTCCTGAGAAGTGGGATGTGTTTAAAGTGAAAACCCAGCACTCATTGCAACCAGACACACCAACAGATGGCGCTACAGAGCATAATGAGAGTGAGAAACTGAATGGAAGCAACTCTCAGACAGAGGCATCAACGCTAATGGCTAGCACAAACTGTTAGCATTCCTGTGTGTATAAGATAAGATAAGGGCAACCTCCTCTTTGTCGTGGAGGGGTTGAACCTAATCCAAAACATGGCAATCAGAAGCACAAATAGGTTTTAGGTTTGGGTTTCGACCTTGCAATGGGGAAGATAGCGGTTGCGAGTGATGATCAATAGAGTGCTAACTCCTGGGACGGCTACAAACATTTAATTTGGGATGTTTTGGTTTATTTCAAGCCCTTAGGCATTGTGCTAAACACTTTTACAAAGTGCATGAGGTGCTTGTTTGTGTAAATGTAAGGTACAACTGTTATTCCAATGTGATGTAAAACAAACAAGACTCATGTGAATTTGAAACCTTTGAAGCAGTTCACACTAAGGACACAATAGCCGCGTTCACACCGGAGTACTTTTCACCGTACTTTTCGCCTTTAGTTCCGTTAGTACCCCTTATGTCGCGTTCACACCAAAAAGAGCACTTAATCTCGGGAACTTTTACCCCCAATTTTAGTGCCTGCTGAGAGATGGTGCTTTCCTGGGGGAAAAAAGTGCCCCAGTTCTGATTCGCTGGGCGAATTGCAAACCACGCCCCGTACAACTCTAAAATGTTTTGTAGAGCCGCCATTTTATTATCCTCGCATTAGCATTATTAGCATTCGCATTCGCCCAGTGCACAAACGCAGAGAGACTAATTTATGGCAACACAAAATAAAACATGGGAGCGGTGGAGATGAGGAGGTGTCGGCGTTCTGGCGATTTACTCGGAAGGCTTCAGTAGAAGCTGCTGGGAGTCCCAGCAGCTTCTACTGAAGCCTTCCCCAACTCCGGGGACTTCCGGCCGGGGACTTCTGGGTGGCAGTATACGCCGTGAAGTTGTTTGCGGCCTGCCAGTAAACCCAAAGCAGAAGAAGACGAAGTGACGTCAGCGGCTCATTTGCGTAATCTTCCCTCAGGGAAAAGTACTCCGGTGTGAACGTGATCTGTACTAAATGCCCTGGGGTAATAAGTGCCGGGGCTCTGAGTGCCGGCACTAAATACGGCAAAGTACTTGGTGTGAACGCGCCTAATGAGTGACGTTGTTTTATATGTATGCTTTTTTCTTGATGAATCCATATGCCATAAACGAGATGCGTATAATTGCAAATAAAATGTCTGAAAAAGGTTCCAAGTATTTAATGTGCTCTTGAGTTGAAAAAAGGTTTGTTGAATTGGTTGCAGGTTGCAGAAGTGGTTTTCAATTAAATCTGGAGAACAAAACACAAATCCTTCCTTGTTGTTATTGTTGTTGCTGTTGTGAAGGATCATTCTGGTGATGCTGGAAAAAGAAAGTGGCGTCCTGACGTAGATGGACTCGGGATCTGGGCAGTGGAAAAACGGCTGACTGGTTTGCAAAGATCTACCACCTGCTATCAAACTGACACCAGCACAAGTGTACCTCCTTTCAGTGGAAAAGGGTTATTAGTGAAATATAATAGTATGGACTGGTAGCTGGATAGGTGCTAGTTCGCCTCCAGAGGCCTGCACTACGAAGCCGGATTTTCGCTTAGCCGGCTGACTTCAGGGAAAACTCGGGCTTTCCGGTCCTACGACGCTGGTTCTCTTTTTAGCGGGCTAGATCTCCATGGTAACTTATGCTGAGCGGCTAACCTCCTCGGGAGGAGGTTTGGTTGCAGGTTAAGAGATCAACTCAGTGAAAGCACCGCCTGCTGACCAATCAGAGCTCCGTGTGCGGAGTTTAAAGCTATCAATTCATATTACAGGATAGAGGAAATACAGAAAAACTGCCGTTGCAGGAAAGACGGCCGGCAAAAATCAACTGACTGTGTGAACGTGAAAATTAATAGAATATCCCCTCCCATCTTCACAGCAATCGGACTATTATAACATTAGCGTTAAGAAAGCTTATTTAAATATCTGCCACAACATAAGTAACCGGATCAGAGTAACATTAAGTACAGTCCGCGGCACTGTGAGTGCAGACGTCGATGTGTCCCATTATCATTCATATCATATCACATCATAATGTATCATATATTTCCTTATTTGAGTCAGCTGAGCCGTATCTGGCCGTGCAACACTCACAGTGTCACATACTGTATGCAGAAGTATTATTTTAAGCAACACATTAAGTTGACGAAACACTCGAGTCAAATGTAATTAAAGTCAGATCGTGTCTTGGACGGGGCAGTGATTTCATAAACCTGTTAATGTACGCATTCAAACGCTTTCTCTGTTACCAGCTGTATTCACCTTGCAGGTGCAGCTATGTGGCTTTTATCCTGGATAAAGTGTTTAAGTCATGGATGTTTAAAGTTTAACTTCTTCATATTTGACTAATATTAAAGTTCACTTTTCATTCAGGAAGTATGACGCTGCGCTGTCAGTACGCTTGTCCATGTTTGAGATTGGTCGAATGCTCCAAATACCACCCCTTTCATGTGAACGCGCACCTAACTAGATAGGACACGGCTGGCTTGAGCGATCCACTTGATAACCAGCGTCGTAGTACAATTTAGCGAGAGCGCGTATGTTTTGGATTGGGCCAACCGGCTAACTCAAACATATCCAGGTTAGGACAATCCGGCTTCGTAGTACAGGCCTCTGGTCCCTGCCGAGGTGCCCTTGAGCAAGGCACCGAACCCCCAACCAGCCTGCATGTGCATGTGTGCAACATACCTGTGTACTCTGTGGTTAAAACGATGTATGTAAAAACCCCTAGGGGGATAACTAAAGCTTCATCTTCTTCTTCTTCTTCTTAAAATATAATTTTTTGTAGACAGTGATAATCAAAAGCATGTACAGTATCAAAATACGTGACTTGGCAGTAAGGCATGTGTTTAAAGGGTTTAGATTAGCCTCATGTCCCCATGCAGCAGACATGACAGCAAACCAGTCATTTCAGCTCCACGTTCGTTACTTGCTGGCAGCCTCTTGCACTTGCTATCCTTTTTTTCAGCAGAAAAACTAAAGTAGACGCCAGCAAAGATTAAGGTGTTCCTTTTAATGGTGTGATTGACAAAATGTGTTTTGCTTTGTGCTTTTCATTATGGGTGTGACTTATCAAGTTTTACACTTTGCTCAGGCATTTTACCAGAGGGCATTTATGTACGTTGAAGTTTGAAAGGTTTTCATTTAACCGGTTTGTCTTCTTGATTTACTTCACTCAGTCAGCCAGACGTCAGTCAGCATCTATCATGGCTGTTCACATAGCCATGGTGATTTTCTACCTGCTGGTTCTTGGGACCGGCATCTGAGCTTCTTTCAAGTCCAACAGGGAACATATTATATTCAAAGATTCAAAGGTTTTATGTCATATGCATAGTGTAGAAATGGCAATGAAATTCTTCTGACCCGATGTCCTCCAACATTGCAACAAATATAATAGAACACAAAAATACAAATAAAAAATAGTGCAAGAAGTCTATATACATGTAAATAGAATATGATATATACAAGAACAGAATGTACAATTAAATATTGTACAGTAGGATGAAATAAAATACGGTTTTATAACATATACATATTATAATTATGTGGTTCTTTACTGGGTAGGTGTCATATTGTATGAACTGGTTGCAAAAATATGTTACATTATGCTATTAACTTAATAGTATTAAGTATTACAGTTTATTAAGCGGCTGTTGGTTATGATGTGAAAACAAGTTTACTCTTTACTTGTTGAGTCTCCTAAAGCAGGTTAAAAAACGAAAGAAACAGACAAATATTTCTAAACTGCATGACTGTAGTTTTAGATTTAATATTAAATCCAGATTTCCATTCGTTCTTCATGTTGACAAGATGTAAATAACTCATTAAACATTGTCACGTAGTTTGCTTACACTACAAGTATGACGGTTATCACTAAATGCAACTCTATGACAAAAGAAACTAAATATTCAGTTAGATCAACTAGATCATTTGTTCAAACTGTGAAACACTGCGCTTGATTTTAAAACCAATGAGATTACGTAATAAGAGTATGACGTAATACCTTTCCTCCTGTGCATCATACCAAATTAATTCATAAATTAAACTTAAACTTTTTTTAAAGTGAGTCTCTGCCGATTAAAGTCTTAAATGAGAGGGTCTATAGTCAAACTTCACTCATACACTGAAAATACTTGTGCATTTTAAACATTTTAACCTGTTAAGCCCTGAGCCTGTTTTTCAGGTCTCAGGCTCAAAAATGACATTCCCAGAACAAATGACCATATCTTCCCTTCTAAAAGGGTTAAATTAATAATCTTTGTTCTCAAAGTAATGATAAACCTGTGAGTTGGATGTAGAGAAGTCAGAATCAATATAGATGTTTTTTATTTTAAAGAAAATTCAGATTGAACATAGTAAAAAACTAAATTATAGTGTCCGTCCAAAAATTATTTTGTACTTATAGTGAAAACTACCCTTGGATGATGGTAAGGTAGACTAAAAGCTTTAGGAATCCAAAGTACAACATATAATAAGTACTCTGTATCAAGATTGATGCAAAACAAGTGGCATTTGACCTTTTTTGCTGAAAAGCAACAAATAAAACATCTAATACAAAGTGAACCATTGATGTCTGAGCTGTGTGTGTATTTGTATATGTATGTGCATGTTGTAAAAAGTGTGTACTGTATGTACCTGTATACAAACGCATGTGTGTGTACGACAGACTGGAAACTGAATTTCCCCCTCGGGGGATTAATAAAGGTCCATCCTCTTCTTCTTCTTCTTCTTCTTCTTAAATGTATTACTGTATTTTCCTAGAATTTGAATAGCCTATTGTAATGGTACCAGGGACAGTTAAATCCTCAGGTTAATGGACTTTTAAAAATAGATATCTGGACTTCAAGCAAACCATAGAGAAAAAACATCTAATAAAAAGTGTACCATTGATTTTTTTGATGGTTAGCTAACTGTTTTTATCAAATACATTACATAACAGAACATTTCAAAATAAAAGGTTCTATATGTCCACTAATTCTGGATATTTATTCTGAATAAACTGCCCTAGAAAATGTGCATACTATGCAGTATATACCCAATCTCACGCCCTCCTTGGTATGAAGAGACAGATTGTGTTCTTCACACAATGGAAAAGTACTGAGGAGTGATTCAAAAAAGAAAAAAAGGATGCAAGGTTGTGAAACGTCTTTCGACATATCATGTGAACTCGCTGTGTCGTTAACTTATTTTTTAAATTTGCATGAGGACAAGCTGCAACAGAGTGAAGACCACCCATTAAGTTAAAGGTTAGGCTCAAATTGAGAAAACAAGTCAGAATTTTAAGAAAAAAGTCATAATTTTCTGAAAAAAGTCAGAATTTTAAGATAAAAGTCAGAATTTTAAGAAAAACAACTGCTACTACCAAGAGTTGTCATATCATTTGTCCTGCTGTGATGTAACGATCTATCAACTTATTTTTTATATTTGCAAGTCTCTTCTCCGAGTAAATCCATCATATGTCAAAGATCTCAAAGTTTGTCTTCTGTTTCTTTGCAGTTTTCAGTGCAATCACTCCCAAAAACATTAATTCTGCAGGTATTGTCTCCATTTCTGTTCCTGTGCTATACGACCACTAGCAGCAGTCCTTCAACAGTTTCATGCTTTAACATAGAAGTTCCCAAACTGCACCTGCTTCCCTTATCATTGTTTTATTTTCATTTGTACACAATAGTCACTTTTAGCGGCTCTGATATCTGTAATTTTCCACTCAAGTCAAGTCAAGGCAAGTGCTGTCTGTATTCTTTGTCCTCTTGCATTGATTATAACTGATGTCTGTTGCATTGGCCCAGAGGCATTTAGTGATCTAATCTGAGTTGAAACTGAGCCAAGTCTTTTTCTAATAATGAAGCATGCTTTGCCCTTTGCGCAGGTACTTCCTTGCAGTGCAGATGCATTTAAATGAGATCTAATGTAGGTAAAATTGGGATTATGTGGACATGGACAAAGTAAATGCTTGGAAATGCATATGGGTCTACACTCTTACTAAACTTACACCTTAAATCAGGGGGGTCAAACTCAATTTCATCGCGGGCCACATTAGCATTATGGTTGCACTCAAAGGCCGGTTGTAACTATATAAATATACATATATAAATATATAATATATATAAAATAATGTATTATATTACATTATTGCCTCTGAATTGGATTATTATCGGATAGGATAATAACTTAGTAATTAACTACGTCTGAAAGCAGAAGTCCAGGGCAAATCATTGCAAGTCTCTTCAGTGCACATGTCACAACACGAGATGCATTGTGGGACATGTAGTTTATGGCCAACCTGCTTCTGTAAAGTGGCCTGTAACCGTATAATAAATGTATTATATTCTTTGCAAGCTCTTGCGGGGCCACATAAAATGAAGTCGCTGGCCGGATTTGGCCCCCGGGCCTTGAGTTTGACACCCCTGCCTTAAATCATGCAAAAATAGCTCCAGGCAGTAGGTGAAACAGACTTGGGAGTTTCTACAAAACGTGTGAAGCTTTGTATGATTTTGAGGGTTAACCACTATTGTGAAATCCTATAAACATTTGGCACGTTTGTCTGAAAGCGTTGCATTGGCGAAACTAGCTATTGAAGCATTAAGTACATGTCTTGGTAGTTACATCTTTTCTCAGTGATGCAATTATAGAGTTGTTTTTCCTCATCAAACGCCAAGACGACTGTTTAAAAACTGCAATGCCATCCGACCAGTTTTTATCTGATGTTGTGGATACGTTAAACTTGCAGGAAATCGGGAGTGTTTCTTTATGTGTTTCCTTCTAATTGTTTTTCATCAAACAAGAAATAAAATACAAAAAACACATAAAGTTATTTAAAAGTCAATGGCAGCAGGGAAATTAGTTTCTAGAGCTGATTGTACCAGACAGGAATCACCTCAGGCGCCGCTAGGATTAAACAGGTTTACTGGATCTTCTTAAAAAACACCTGGCCTTGTAAAGTGCTGTAAGGTCATTAATCACTGAAGACAGATCAATTATCATCATCGTTATTACTTCTGAACATCGCTGTTGGGAATGAAGACTGACTAGATGACAGTGACAGATTGAGTTCCTGTGTATAAAACCCCGCCTGCAGTAATGTGCCTGTTAAAAAGGCCCGACTGAGCTTTACCTTTCCTGTTTTGTGTGCATTTCAATGGTCTGCAAAGGCTAACATCTCTGTGTTCCCTCCATGATGAGTTTTAACTGGCTGATTTTCATTTTGACTACAAATCCTCAGGGCTGCTTACTTAATCACTCACAGTTCACGGTCCAGTATTCGCAACAATTACTGGTAGAAGACTGGGTAATTCCCACTTTGTTGGACCATTATGGCGGTTCAGGGTCACAACCTGTCAATAAACTTGATTACCGGTTGATTCATGTTCGAAATGAACAATGAAGCTACTTCTGGGGGTTTAAGTGAAGTTGCAAACACAATGTTAGTATCGGCTAGGTTGTGATACATGAAGTATAAAAGCTAACGTTAGGCTATGAAATAACTACAGCACGGTCACATGACTTCACGTCTCCACCGCTAAGCTAAAGGCAGCTAATGTTAGGCTATAAAGGAACTACAGCACGGTCACATGACTTCACGTCTCCACCGCTAAGCTAAAGGAGGCTAATGTTAGGCTAAAAAGGAACTACAGCACGGTCACATGACTTCACGTCACCACCGCTAAGCTAAAGGAGGCTAATGTTGGGCTATAAAGGAACTACAGCACGGTCACATGACTTCACGTCACCACCGCTAAGCTAAAGGCAGCTAATGTTAGGCTATAAAGGAACTACAGCACGGTCACATGACTTCACGTCTCCACCGCTAAGCTAAAGGCAGCTAATGTTAGGCTATAAAGGAACTACAGCACGGTCACATGACTTCACGTCACCACCGCTAAGCTAAAGGCAGCTAATGTTAGGCTATAAAGGAACTACAGCACGGTCACATGACTTCACGTCTCCACCGCTAAGCTAAAGGTGGCTAATGTTGGGCTATAAAGGAACTACAGCACGGTCACATGACTTCACGTCTCCACCGCTAAGCTAAAGGCAGCTAATGTTAGGCTATAAAGGAACTACAGCACGGTCACATGACTTCACGTCACCACCGCTAAGCTAAAGGCAGCTAATGTTAGGCTATAAAGGAACTACAGCACGGTCACATGACTTCACGTTCAAAAGGCAAAAGCATGCAGGTTCATGTCAAAAACACAAAACTTAAATTAAATGTTTTTATTAGATCAATCCAAAAATACAAGGCAGAATGTACATACATCTTTAAAAATAAAAAATAAATCATGATAAACATTCACGTATCAAGTCCTGGTTTTCATAAACACTTTTCAAACATGCTCTGAACCAACAATGCCTTTGCAGCGTCTTTCCTCTCTCACTCTTTTTTTATCGTTGAGGTGAATTTAATTTGTTTTAGGTGTAGCTTCAGCAAAGATGAAGCTACACCTAAATCAACAAAGAAAGGGTCAAAATAAGTGTGACAGCAACCTCGATAAATAAAGTGGAGATATTCTTCCTCCTGATCCAAAAACGTACTTCTTCCTGTCTTATCTCAATCTCAAAACATGTAAAACCTAAGAACTCGGTTGATAAGTCATCTGAATGTTCAAGTATAACAACAATCGTCTACCAGCAAGATAGGGCTCAGTTCTGTCTTTTCTTACTTCTTTACACTGAGCTCAAGTCTTTTTATACAAATAAATATAGTTAACTTACATCAATCCTTAGACTGATGATGATCTGAAAAAAAACTAAAGAAATGTCTCACAGTTGTTTCCATTAGTTAGTAAATTCAAGCACACTTGGTTTTATAGAAGAGGATTAGAGCCACAACATTTTTTTTTACAATCCTGACATTTTCCTTAGAATTCAGATTATTTTCAGAATCAGTATTCTGATAAAAAAAAAAAAAAAATCCCAACATTTTGGAATTCAGACTTTTTTCTCAGAATTCCGAGACTTTCAGATTTTTTTATTTTTCAGAGTTCCACATTTTACACGGAATTCTGAGATAAAAATAAATAAATTCACTTTTGGTCAGATTTGAGATAAGATGTCACACGTGGCCCTAATCCTTTCCTGTACAGTTATTAAAGGTAGGGTCGGTAAGAATGGAGAAACCAGCTCGAGTTGCGCTAGAATTTGAAAGTACACAACCGAAAAAAATCTGCCCCTTCCTTCAGACTTCCCTACAGAGCCCCTCCTCCAACACACACGAACGTGCACATGACCAATGAGGGCACGAGATAAGTTTGTGCACAGATGGAAGGCTGACAGGCAGGTAGGCCATCCAGTTATCTGCCGCGGGCCGAGGAAGATAATTGGTCTAGCTTTTTACAGCACCACGGCTTCCACAGATGAAATATTTGTATATATTTATTGTCAAAGCATTTCATGTATTCATTGCTGTCGGATGTTAAGACCATTCCATGGAATATAACAAAAAGTCTTTCTGAAGTGAATTACCTACCCCACCTTTAAGTGTATGATATTGAAATAAATTAATCAAACGCAATAAATATTTTTCTTTAAGTTGTCAATAAATATGTCCTCGCCGACTTCTACTCAGCTTAAGAAGAAAAACATTGTCCAGCAACATTTGAATCTATCAGTGCTATCAATCTCATTAACAACATCCTGATTAGATTTGTGGTTTCCCACAATACCCGCTTTAGAGTGAGCTTTAGATTTATGACCACTCCCTGAGGGTGTTAATATCCATCAGTCAACACCGGAGGCAGTTTGAAAGCGAACATTTGGCACAGCCTCGCCGGATTACCAGATATTAAAAGAAAGACTTGGGTGCTTCACGCCATCCGATCCACGGGTTGAATCTCATGTTGGATTTTGTTTTTAGGAATGTGTTACTGAATCGGGTTTCTCCTGGCTGAAGTTACACAGGAGGCTCTTGGCGCCGTTCTGCCATGAATTGAGAGTCTCCAGAGGGGTTTTTCCATCCTGCAGGAGAGAGGGAAACACTCATCAAAACTGGAAAACTGGAAGCAATTAAATTGGATTTATTGTTGTCGATGAGTAAGGTCTTTAGCCCCATTGATGGCCTGTAACGTATGTTTCTGATTACATACGATTTATTTTACAATTAGCAATATTTCATTGAACTGTATGTTTTTTCTGCTTTTAGGTTAACTTATTATTTTTTGCATGTTTACGGTTTATTTACAACTATGGGTTACTTGCAATATTATATTGAACAGTTTTATTTCTGTTTTTGTTTCTTCATGCATTTTTTTAATGTCTAATATATACATAAGGTCTAATAACACTGATGGCCTTGCTGAGTATCACATAATTTTACATTATGAAAGGATGTTTCAATTGCAGTAGTAGTTGGGAACGTTGTGTTTCCTAACCAAGCTGTACTGTATACTCCGGAGCCTCACAACTGCAGTTCCTTAAATGGCCACTTGAGGCTGTATTGAAAAGTGAGGGAATCTCAAAAGACCCCCATGTGAAAATTATAAACTTTACAGCAGAAATAAACGTGTTTTCAGCTCCAACAATAAACAAGTTTTGGTCTCAAAAGCTAATTTCCCCAAAAAAGACAATTAAAACGGATTAAATATCTGTATTGTGGCCTATATGTCGAAATGTTACAATAAAATATAATTTAAATATACATTTTGATCAGTGAAAGCATGGAGGGGTTGTCGTGTACTTACAGAGTTCTTTGTGGTGAGACTGGCTCCGTACATCATCAGCAGCTTGATCATCTTGAATCTGTTTATTCTCACAGCGTCGTGCATGGGCGTGTCTCCATCCTTTATTCAGGGAGGAAATCAATCAGGGAAGATGTCTTCATTATGAGTTCACAAATAAGTATTTTCAGAAAGATTTACCTATTCATGGTACGTCTATTTTATGAAATCTTGAAGGTTAATTCATAACAAATGTGCTTTTATGTGCACAAATTGCTTGAACAAATTGATTGTGCAGTAGATTGTCTCGGTGAATCAGCTTTATGTCTCGCTGCAGAAGATTAACATTTTACATTTATATTTAATTTAATATTCCATTCCCTATGCTCTTAATGTAAATAATATCCTGCTTTATATTGTGTCTAAAGCCCTTCAATAGAGTATTGTATTATTATTAATATTCTAGTATCGTTTACTTCTACGCTTTAATTTCTACCTATGTGCAATGCCTTGTTTTGTTTTGTTGTTTTGTATGCTGCTGCATTGCAAACATTTCAACATTTTGGATCAATAAAGTACCTCTTATCTTATCTTATCTTATCTTATCTTATCTTAAATGTAGAACTCTGTGTTGTGTTTCCTTACCCTGTCCTTGGCGTTGACGTCGGCTCCGCAGTGGATCAGATGCTCGGCGCACTCACAGTGTCCGGTCCGCACAGCGACATGCAGAGGAGTGCTGTTCAACTGAGGAGAGGACAGGCTTTCAGTTCTCTCCATTCATCCAACACACATAGATACTGTGTGTATATAACTGGAGATAAATTAAAAAACGGTGTTTGTGTGTGCTCACCTTGTCTCTGTAGGTGACCTTTGCCCCCTGGTCCATGAGGAGCTGCAGGGCCGGCAGGCTGCCTCCTCTGCAGGCCCAGTGCACCGCTGTGGCCTCCAGCTGAAACACACAACACATTATCTTATGAACATATAGGTTCATCTACTTGATTAAAAACAACCCTCCAACCCTCCAACCCTCCAACCCACGACCAACCAACCAATTAACCAACCAATTAACCAACCCACCAACCCACCAACCAACCAATTAACCAACCAATTAACCAACCTACCAACCCACCGACCAACCAACCAACAAACAAATAACCAAATAACAAAATAACAAAACAACCAACCAGCCAACCAACCAACCATTCACACTTAAAGTATTATCCTACAGAACAGCTTACAGAGAAGAGATAGCATCTGATCCTTTACAACAAACACTATATGCTCTTTTTAAGTTTTACTAACACTGTATTCCTGCTGAGTTTTCAAATATCTCACCTTGTCTTTTTTCTCGATGGTGGCTCCGGCCTCCAGGAGTCTCTTCATGACGTCCACGTGTCCTTTGAACGAGGCTTTGTGCAGCGCTGTCCTCTGGAACTGGACATTTGATACATAAAGAATATTAGATCAATGATAACAACGATTAACTAATTACTTATTATTATTTTCTTCTGAGTGATGCTCACATGGTCGGCTGCATTGGGGTTTCCTCCGTCAGTCAGGTACTTCTCCACCAGCGGCATCTTGTTGTCACTGGCTGCAGTCAGAAACATATTCTCATCCACCCAGGCTGGCTGGAAGCGTTTTAAAGAGCAGAAAAAAACATTTTAATTAAACATTTCCCTACATACATCACTCAATCAGTCAGTCAGTCAGTCGATCAACCAACCAACCAACCAACCAACCAACCAACCAACAATCAACCAACCAACCAACCAACAATCAACCAACCAACCAACCAACAATCAACTTAACAACCAATCAATCAACGAACCAACCAAACATCAACTAAATCAATCGACCAATCAACCATCATACAAACTAACAAACCAACCAACCAACCAATCACCAACCTCATCATTAAAGCAGACTAATACACGATTTAATCTCACCAGGGTCTCTGGCACTGGCTGTGGTTTCTTATTGATCGGAGCCTTCCTCTCCCTCCTCCTCTTCTTCAGCTGCATGATGTTGAACAGATCGTCAACCGTCTCTAGTCTCAGCCGGCCGCTCTTATCCGTCTGACAGGGAACATACGGCTTCAGGGGAAAAAGAAAAACTACACTTAAAAAACAGCTTTGTACAAAAAGGTTAAGTACATGGACATGATATATGCTTGAGACTTGAAAGTACATTTGGAAATATAAAATAATTAAAAAACCCAAAGTACCACAACCTTCAATTAAAGTACTATTTGTTTGTATTTCCAATGCTCCATTATGATCCATGCATGTTTCTAGAACTAGTGCTCATTAATGGTCTGTTCAGATTGATTGATTGATAACTATCTGTCCAGAAGCTTTGAAGCATGTCTTTAACAAAGCTTGTGTGAAAACAGGGTCATGGAAGATTGATTATATGGATTATAAACATGTTTGCACCTTCAAACGGAGAAATACTGACGACTAGATGGAAACTAGATTTCTCTAACGCACCAACTCTTGACAACACCATGATCATGAGGTCTATTTGTATAGTGTACTCCATGGTATACTCGGTGGAGGAAGGTTCCTAACAGAGTGGAGGTCTCTGAGCTGCACACAACATTTGACCGTTCACGGAAACAAACCATATTTGTGAATGATCAAATAACGTCTTACAGTGTTTACTGAGCTGTTTGGGATTTATTTTTCAACATGTTTGGATGGTGATATGCACAGTGATGGATGTGCAGACCTATGCAGATATGAATATATATTAACCTTGGTAATGAAGAGTTTATTTTTCTACTGTTCTCCACGTTTATATACCTGCATAAAACCACACCATAAGAACACACAGCGTGACGTCTCTGTGGTTATTGGAGTCCACTGTCTAAGTACTTCTTAATGACTGAGATCTTTTTGACAATTCGACCCAGTTTCAAGTTTCAAGTTTCAAGGCTTTATCATCATGTGCACATTAGCTACAGTGTAGATATGGCAATGAAAAACTTAGGTCACAGGCTCCTCCAACAGTGCAACAGGAATATATATATAGGACATAAACAAATTAAACAGATAAAATAGTGCAAGAGAATGTTTTGAGATGTGCAAGTAAATACAAATAAAATATAAATAGTGCAAGAAGCGTCTATACAAGTGAATGGAATATGATATATTAGACAAATAATTTGCTAAATGTAAACAGATTAATGTTTATGGATGTTCTTTAAAAAGTTCAGGTGTTCAATAGTCTTATGGCCTGTGGGCAGAGGTGGGAAGTAGTGGAGTACAAATACTTCGTTACTGTACTTAAGTACATGTTTATGGTATCAGTACTTTACTCCACTACTTATTTTTCTGACAACTTTTTACTTTGACTTCTTACATTTTGAACCCAAATACCTGTACTTTCTACTTCTTACATTTTGAACACAAATACCTGTACTTTCTACTTCTTACATGTTGAACACAAATACCTGTACTTTCTACTTCTTACATTTTGAACCCAAATACCTGTACTTTCTACTTCTTACATTTTGAACACAAATACCTGTACTTTCTACTTCTTACATGTTGAACACAAATACCTGTACTTTCTACTTCTCACATTTTCCAAACAGGCTGGTTCCTTTAGTTTGAATGTGTGTTTGGTGGCGTGATCATTATTATTTAGAGTCATTGCGTGCCTATTGATTTGAACACGATCCGTGTATCCATCATTTCCTGGTCTTCTCTAAAGAAGAGGGACCAATGAAAACGTTGTCATGTTGCCGTTGTTCAGCATGGAAACATTCATTAGCTAACAATGACATTATTGTTCTATTAATATAAAGGGAGGTCAGGTACTCTTTAAAACAGATGCTAGTTATGGGTACTTTTTACTTAAAGTGGACCTATCATGCTATATTTGAATAATATATTGTAGGGCCATACCTATATAAAGTATATAAATATAGTTTTTTTTTTCAAAATACCAAACAGATCCTGCATTTTAGCCATGCCTCATTTTGCTCCATTTGCTCTTTCCAGCACTGTTTTTTGCAGGGAGCTGATTCTGTGAGCTGCAGCTGACCACGCCCCCCTGCAGGAGAGGGTAGCCGTGCTCTGATCAGCTGCTGGGCTGTCAGAAGAGGGGGAGAAAAAGAGATCTCCGCCCTCGTGTTTTATTAAATAGAGTTGTTATTCATTTGTTTTAAAGCTCAATAAATAACAAAGAAGACCTTTGACCGGCACTTTTCTAATTTTGTCCGGAAGATTTAAACTTTAACGGACATCTTGACCGGCGAAATAAACTGAAACTGAAACTTTGCCGCACGGTCCCCTCGTTCCTTGGAAGAGGCGGAGAGGTGGGTGTTTGTCATCTGCTGGTGGACTAACCGGAGAGAATTACAGTGCTTGCCTCGACGGGGAGGGATTGCATTGAATTAAAGCAGCAGGAGCAAACCCTTGCCTCGGGGAGGGAGAAAGAAAGCCACAGCGGAGAATAAACAGAAGGGTAACCATGGTAACTATGGGCGGGAAGTCTTCTTCGCTGCTTTTGTGACTGACTACAGCGCCACTTACAGGCCTGGCATATGTACTACAGCGTCTCCAGCGCTTTCGAGCGGCAATGGCCGGCCGTGGCCCAACCCCACATTCCCCTGA